GATATAGACCCTCTGAATAAAGTCCCTGCTTAAGAGAGCCAGAAGAGGGTTCAGAAAGGGTCCCCTTTAAGGGTCCCTTATCCTACCTAGGAGCTATAGCATCTTGAGCCGAAATACTCCCAACAACTTAGGGATGACATGTCGGAGTCGTCGCCCCAATATCCAGAAAATTTCGCTTTCACATGGCTGCTTGAATCATCTGAATGACCTCCTCTCGTTCTTGGTCGTATTGCCCAGTCTGGCTTTGGAGAAGTTGCAGCAGTTCCAGCACTTTACCCCGCTCCTTCAGAAATCTGACCAAATTTATGGTCGAGTTGACCGTGCTTGGATGTTGGGCGCCGAACATCGCATTGCATTTTGCCTGCTCTTCACGGAAGAGTCGTTCGGCCTCATCAAATTGCCCAATCTCTTCCAGGAGCGTAGCCAAGCCGTATGTTGTGCCTAATGTTTTTGGGTGCAACTCGCCGAAACGCACCCGACAGCCTTCGAGGGCCTCTCTGAGAAGGGCCTCTGCCTCCCGCAGCTGTCCTCGGGCCTTCAGCAGCCCAGCCAAGTTGCTGATAGCTATGAGTGTGTGGGGATGATGGTCCCCCAACGCGGCGCGATTGCCTGCGAGTGCCTCACGAAAAAAGGCCTCTGCCTCTTGAAGGCGTCCTTGGCTCTGAAGCAACCCTGCAAGGCTGTTGACGTAGTTCAGCGTGTGAGGGTGATGCTTCCCCAGAGCAGTGCCTCTGCATTCAATTGCCTCGCGGAGGAGGGGCTCTAACTCTGCCTCCTGTAAGCATCCTTGGACTTGCAGCAACCCCACCAAGTTGTCGACACGAGCTAGTGTCCGAGGGTGGTGCATCCCCAGAGTCGTGCGACTGCGCTCAAGGGCATCACGAAAAAAAGGCTCCGCCTCTTTCAGTCGCTTCTGATCCCTGAGCAGCACCGCCAAGTTGTCCACACTGTCCAGCCTGTCCGCGTGCTGCTCTCCCAGAACAACGCGCCTGGCTTCGAGGGTCTTGCGGAAAAGGAGCTCGGCCACTTCCAAGCATCCTTGTTCTTTGAGGAGTCCTGCAAAGTTGTCCAAGCTGGCGAGTGTGTCCGGATGCTGCTCCCCCAGAACAGCACGCCTACCTTCCAATGCTTCGCATAAGAGAGGCTCTGCCTCTTCCAAGCGTTTTTGATGGACCAACATCAGCCCCAAGTTGGTCTTGAGTTTCAGCATGTTCAAGTCCTTCTCTGGCAGCAGAGCACGCCCCGTTTCCAAAGCCTTTTGAAGAAGGACATCGGAGTTCAACGTCACTGCTAGGTTGCCAAGAAGCTGAACGAGGTGATCCTTTCCGACAGTCCTCAGACCATTTACTATGGCCTCGCGAGAAAGATTCTCAGCCTCTTCCAGCCGTCCCTTAGAACCCAGCACCGCCGCCAGGCCCAGAAGTGCCAGCATTGTATCTTGGTGCTGCTCCCCAAGAACGGCATGACATCCGTCTACGGCCTCGCAGTACAGCGACTCTGCCTCTTCCAAGCGTTTCTGATTCAGCAGTAAAGCAGCCAAGTTGTTGAGGATGATCAGGGTGTCAGGATGGTGGTTCCCTTGTGCGGAACAGCTGCCTTCCCAAGCCTCGCGGAAAAGAAGCTCCGCTTCCTGCAGGCGTCCTTGTCCCTTCAGATTCATCGCCAGGTTGGAGGCCGTCGCCACAGATTTTCGGTGGCACGCCCCTAGCTTGCTACGGCATCCTTCTAAGGCCTCCTGAAAGAGCACGCTCGCCTCTTGTAGGCGTCCCTGTTCATGCAGCGTTGATGCCAAGTCGTTGATGCTACTCAGTGTCGAGGGGTGGTGCTGTCCCAGCGCTCTGCATCGTCCATCCCTGACCTCACGGGAGCTGGTTGCGTTGTGTCTTGTTGTTGATTTCACCGTTCTTTCTAGTTTTCGCTAGGTTTGGACACATTATGCTAAGTTGCTGCGTAGCCGTCCGTGTTCCAGGATGCCTTTAGGGTTTAGGTTGCCATACCCCGTGGATTATCCCCTTCGCTCTGTTGCAGGACACAACAAGACAATTGACAAGGTTCTCGAGTGCCTCCTCTTGCTGTGAGTACGGAACTTTCTGACAATAGAGCGCTCGAAAAAAGGGTTGCTAAGAGACCCAGAAGAAGACCTCGAATTTGAGAACAAGCCGTATACCCCCTAACGCGAAACGATGATGTTGGCCTGAGTTCTTAAAAACTTTAGCTGTCGACCACTCATTTTGGACATGCATCCCGCAAGTATGCTACTTGTTTTGTGGGGTGCCGCAATATTCGGGGTCCTTCGTTGCGGGAAATTTGCATGCGTCATGCTATGACTTAAGGTCTACAAAACTGTAGGGCCCGCCCACCGTGAAAAACACAAAAAAGCAGACAGGTGCTTCTCAAAACAATCCCTTCTGATCCCGACAACGGACCCCTGCATTCCCTGAATGTATCCCTAAGGGCCACCCATTTTGAGAAACTCCCATTTGTTCAATTCACTGCATCATGCCTTATGTATAGGTGCTTGCTGCCTTGCCTTTAACATGGAATCGCACGTGCTAAGTTGTTTTCCTCCTGTGCTGCGACGACTTCATGCATGAATACCTGTCCCCGCTAAGTTGTACAGTGCACCCCTTTCGTTGTGTTCCGAACCTGAAAAAACGGTGGTGCTTGTCCAAAATCAAAAACAGTGAGCAAATCGGTGCCAAACATGCAATAGAAAATGCAACCTTCCCACCATGAGATAATATACACGTATGTGCATACAACCATACATCTAAATACAGGGAGATAAACATGCAAGAATCGGATACTATTTTAAGGTTATGTCTTCTTGATAACCCAAACAATGCAGGAACTTGAAAACATAGCGCCCCGAGGGTAGCAGGATTTCTATTTGAACAGTTCAGGAATTAGCTAGATATACTTATGCTTCACAATTTACGCACCACCAAATTCTTTATTATCATTAGCTCGCAGAGTTTCTTTGACTTTCCAAGTCTTTGTATTCAAGTCTTGCCGGAGATCCGGTGGACATCCATGAGATTACCTCGGTGCCACAAGATCATAAAACGTTCACAAAAAACACACACAAACAAGACACAATTAATATTTTCGAGCATTGAACTTTTAGAATCCTAAAATCCTTCAAACAAAGTCTGGACTGGAGAACAGGATTCAAGATGACATAACAAGTTTGCAAGTTCCAAAGACTCTCAACATCAGTTTTTTGATTAGAGTTTCCCGTTTGCAAAGTGTTACCCTAACATCTCCTGGAGGTTCGAGAGAACTATTTCAGGATATCAACAATTTAGTGAAAAAACCGTAATATGAGGAACCCAAAAAACACTAGAGACACTCAACTTTTCGGTTCCTATAGTGCCCACAAATAATAACATGTTCCCAAGTCTCCCTGAGCCAAAACTTTAGGGATATCATCTGATTGCAGGATTTCAGCGCTTCTTGCTTTCAAATTCTAGCGCGGGCAGCAAGATTCCTGATATGGTGACTTTGCACTGAATACACCGAAACTTCCAAGCTCTCTCCAGCTTGCATACTGAGGGGTCTTCGGGGCCGAGGAGCAGGTCCGGATTAGCACTTGCCTTCGTTCTCCCCTACCCTAAGGCCTACGGCCTACAGCCCAAGGCCTATGGCCTCAGGGCCTAAACCCTAAAGTATTTCCTTTTTCATGTCTTATTCAGAAGGCAGATGCTTTCCGGCTTGCTCTTTTCTCTTCTTTGTCTATTTCGTCTCATGAACGTACGGAAGAGGGTTTAGGGCATAGGGTTTAGGAGGACATCCCTTTCCCTCCCCCTTGGTTTTCGTTCTTTTTGGATTCAGGACCCAAATGGAAGAAGCGATCAGGGATCCTTTCCTTCCTCCTGCCTCTCCTCGTCCTCTCTCTTTTCTTCTTCCTTTTCAATTTTAAATTGGAGCTTTTTGATGTGTTTTGGCTGCTGCTGCTTGTCGTTGCTCCTATCCCGTCCAAAGCGCGCGAATGCTGGACAAACCAGGTGACGACCTACCGACGGAGCAGCCGACCGGACCTGACCGACTGACCCGACTGACTGGCCGACCGACCAGGAAAACCAACAACAACATAAACACAACACGCAAAGGCAACCAATAACAACTACGAAAAAAGATCTTAAAACCGGACCTCGCGGTAAAGAGTCTCCGCATCGTGCAATCGCCCCTGTGAGACCAGCACTCCAGCCAGACCAGAGCAGCTGTTCAGCGTGTTGAGGGCTTGCTCTCCCAGCACAGCGCGGCTTCTGTCAACGACGTCGCGGAGAAGGGGCTCTGCCTCTTGCAGACGGCCCTGCGATGCCAACATGTCTGCTAGATCATCCAGGGACTTAATCGTCGTGGGGTGGTTCTCCCCCAGTGTGGCAAAGCATGAGCGTACGGCCTCGAGGAAAAGATGTTCTGCCTCCTGGAAGTTGCCCTTGATTTTCAGCATCTGAGCCAAATTCCTGATGCTAGCTAGCGTCTTGGGGTGATATGCAGTCAACAAAGCACGGTATCTGCGCAGGCACTCCCGAAACAGCTCTTCAGCTGCGTCAAGCTGTCCCCGCTGTCCACGAAAGCGCAGCCAACACGCCAGCTCAGCCATGCAGGCAATCGTCTTCTCGTTGTCATCGCCATTTGTCGCACGCAAGTGGGCAAGACGCGCTTGTAGTAGCTGGAGCTTGCCGTCTGCTTCAGCAGAGGCATGGTGCACCTTGCCCGCATCGTCTGTGATGCGCACTACCCAGACGTCACGGGCCCGATGTACAGGCTTGCCTTTGTAATCTTCGCCCAATCGGACCTTCCGCTCTCGGCCTGTTTTCTTGTCTTGCACCAGCTTCTTTGCGAGGTCAGGCGTCTGCCGAACGAAAATGTTGTAGGCCAAGGACGAGGGAACCAGCAGAGGTATGCAAAATGCCCCACGGTGGCCAGAAGAGTTGTGTTCCCCCCACTGATGGCAAACCCGCTTAGCTTCTTCGTCTTCGGCATCTTGAAAAGGAGACCCATTGCTGTAATTGTTCAGCAAGATGCGTCTGCGCAGTTTCCAAACAGAAGGTTCGTGCTGAGAAGTGTACACGCCCATGCCGAAGTGCGCACGACAATCCTCAAGCGAGGCGAACAGCTCTGATGCGGTTTGCTCCAGATTTGCAACATTCTGGAAGCCGACAGCGTTCGTATAGTGGTACAGCACTACGATTTCTCCGTCGTCAGCAGGGAGAAGGTCTCGCAGGTCAAGAGCATGCTGCCAGACATGGACAGGGCCGTCGTCAGCATCAAATCTGAACGTGCGCAGTTGGCCGTCAATGGAACCCTCGATGTATTGTTCGCCCACAAACAACTCGCCTCGGAGGTAACCGCCTGCAAAGTACTGCGATAGCTCCGCACGTCCCAAGGTAAAAGTGCCAGGCTTCTTGCTGGCCTGGCAGTGAGCAGCTCCGAGCAGCGTCGGCAAAGTCCCGTTGGCCTCCGTGGCCTGCGCTGGTTTGCTTGCACAACAACCCATGACAGCGACCGGGGCCACAAAAGTGTCAGCATTGAGACGACATGGCTGCCTTTTGTACACATCTTTTGATTCCTTACAATTACTATTTCCATTGCTGTTGCATTGCGAGCCCTAGTACTAGTACAATGACGATTTCGTTTCTTTTCCTCCTATTATTCTCACTACTAATATCATGATCAGTATTCTTTTGTTGCTACGAGTGTTCTTGCTTGTGCTTTTCGACTCAGACTATTCAACATGATTACCTTTATATGGTGTCGGCTAGCAGTACTGTTAGTATGGCTCTTCAAGACCTACCCGGGAGAGTGTGGAATGTTTCTGCAAGATCTTCAGTGCGCTCTGTAGGTGAGGTGAGACAGGTCGAACACAGTCGAGGGTGCGCTGAAAAAGGGGGTCAAAACCCAAAACCAGCCTCGGAGCCAAAACCAAACTGGGAGCCATGACTTAAACCAACTCTGAGGTGTACACTAGCTGATGTGGACTATTCGCTTGCGGCACCCTGGCGCTCGCGTCTTGAAGCATAAACGCTTCAGCCACTACTTGGGCCGGTTACTTTGAACCCGCCCTAAAGCTGTCTGAGCTCGGCTGCACCAGCGTCATGACCAGTGTGCATGCGCGCCCCAGGTCACCACCGACCCATCGCCAAGGATGGCTGCGAAGACCTTTCTGCAGGCTTGGATGGCTTGCACATCCTTGAGCTGCGCTTGCACCATGCTGCTGTCTCCGCCTTGCTCCGCATCGCCCCAGGAGACAACGGATCCATCCCGCAGGATGGCTGCAAAGGCCCTGTCGGTGGCTTGGATCTTCAAAACATTTGTCAGCTGCTTTTGGACCCCGCTGCTGTCACCGCCGTGGTCTGCAGATTCTGCATCACCCCAAGTCACCACGGATCCATCACCTCGGACGGCCGCGAAGGCTGCGCCGGAGGCCTGGATCGCTTGGACGTCCAGGCACCGCTCGATGGCCTCAAGGTCCCCAGTGAAGTCCGGGAAACAGACGCGCGGCTCCATCTCGCCCCAAGTTACCACGGATCCCGAGCCAGTGAGGGCAGCAAAGGACCGTGAAGAGGCTTGGACTTGCTTCACGTCCTTCAGCTTGTCCTGAACATCGCTGCTGTCGCCGCCATAGGGGCCATCGCCCCAGGTGACAACAGATCCATCTGCCAGGATCGCCGCGAAGGCGGCTGTTGTTGCTTGGATCTGCAGCACATTTTTGAGCCTGTCCTGGACAGAGCTACTGTCGGCACCGTAGTCGGCGTCGCCCCAAGTCACGACGGAACCATCGCCAAGGATGGCTGCAAAGGCTGTGGTAGTCGACTGGATGTGTTTCACCCCATGCAGCTGTTCCTGCACGTTAGTGCTATTTCCACCATAGTCCTCGTCACCCCAGGTCACCACAGATCCATCTTGGCGGATCGCAGCGAAGGCGTTTTGGGTGGATTGGATCTTTTGAACCGTCCTAAGCTGGTCCTGAACGGCACTGCTGTCGGAGCCGTAGTCCGCATGACCCCATGTCACAACAGATCCATCAGCTAGGATGGCGGCGAACGCTCGGAACGATGCTTGAATCTCCTTCACATTCTTCAAGAGATGTTGCACACCACTGCTATCACCGCCACAGACAGCGTCGCCCCAGGTGGCGACAGACCCGTCACTAAGGACTGCTGCAAAGGCTTTGTGAGTGGCTTGGATGTGCTTCACATTCTTCAGCTGATGCCGCACAGCACTACCTAGGACTGTAAGATTGCTGAACTGGCTTTTCGTTGCCCTTTTGTTCGCAACTGTCAGGCAAGAAGGGAATGCTGCCCGCAAGACAACTTGAGGGGATAAACCCTAAACCTTAAACCCTAAACCCTGAGACCCTTCCTTTGTAGGAGCCACGTGGCTATCACCACCGACGGCAGCATCACCTCGCGTGGTGACGGATCCATCAAGGGCCACGACAGCCGCCGCGTCTTTGGATGCCCCTACCTTAAGGTTTTGGAGCTTCAGGTTTAAGGTCTGATTGGGCAGACAGTTTTCGGTTGAGTGTAAAGCTTAAACTCCTCCGCATGGAGCATAGTCATGACTTTCTAAAAGCACCGTAGCGTCACATAAAGAGTTGGCACACACACACACAGGCACACACGCACACTTAAATGACAACCGCTCAACCAAGGTGCTTGCACCAGGCTGGCCTCGCCATGGGGCCCACACTTCCCGTCAGCCAAGGCCGTCCGGACGCGGTGGGTCAAATCCTCGGTTGTGAGGCTATGGGAAGACCCGATTGAGTCTAGACTTGGCTGTGGAAAGTCACTGCGGCATGTTGTGCTCGCATTAGATGAAGCTGGTGGTGGGTTACGCCGTGGCTACTGTTCGTGTTCTGTGGTCCGGACGAGTACTTGTTGTTGCGCAGCCGGCGGGGCAGTCAAGCTAGCATCGCACGTATGATGGGCAGGATGACCATGGCCACCATAAGAGCTTAAGCACTCAAAAACATGCCGACGAGTCTCTCTGGATCCCTACATGCCGTCCTCATCTCCCCAAAACCAGAACACTTTCGCTGCACGTTTACTGTGGCGCCCTGTCGGAAGTCTTTATAGGCCGCTCAGATGCGCACTTGATCCACTTTGCTCCTTGACGCTTACGAGGTGATCGGAAGCCCAGATCCTTAAACCCTGACTCTTAAAATCCCTCAACCTGACCCAAACCTCCCCAGGGATGCACAGTACGTTGCAGCGAAGCACACGAGTCATAGCAAGCAAACTCCGCGAATGAAGCAAGAACACGAAGACAAACAGTGCTACAGCCTTCCAAATCCACAGCGTTTCACCTCGACGGCAGGCACTATTAGGGATACGATTGTCATAACTCGTGCTGTAACAATGCCATTGTTCTTGCGATAAGCTGTATTTTCAATATTGATACTATCGTTATTCTAGGTTTCATAGTCATGGTTCTAAGGGGACGCGGGGTGGGACATGCGGGACGCGCGCGGGATGCGAGGGAAGCGAGGGACGCGGTGCGGGATGTGGGGCAGGACCCAGGGGACCGCAGGTCTCGAATGTCCTGCGCTGTCACGGCTTTAGGGTTTAGGTCCTATAGGGTTTAGGGCTTAGGGTTGTCTAGGGTTGTTTAGGCTTGAACCCTTTTTTTGAGGTGCTAAGGCTTTTGTGTCATCGTTCTTGTTCTCATAGCACAAGAAGCCCTGGGATGCTCCAGAAGGACGCTGAACCAGAAGAGCCCCCAAAAACCGTAACACCCCCCAAAAGGCCTTAAAGCCCTCAACAGCCTCAAAAAAACACCCCAAAGACCCTAAAAAACCCTTAAAACCCTAAAACTCCGAAAGCCCCTAAAACCCGGAAGACCCTAAACACCCTTAACCCTACCCCCAAACCCTAAACGCCATTAAAAGCCCGGGGTCACCCACGTAGGCGGTGACGTCTGCCTCCACCACTGCTCTGGGGCTCGGCAGCGGCTCGACCCGGGGGCTTGCCATGCTTCTGGCTTAGGGTTTGGGGCTTAGGGCTTAGAGTTCAGGGTTTGGGGTTAGGGTCTAGGGTTTGGGGTTTAGGGTTTAGGGTTTAGGGTGTAGGGTTTAGGGATTTGGGGGTTGTAGGGGCTGTAAGGTTTAGGGCTTAGGGCTTAGGGTTGTTTAGGGTTGAACCCTGCTTGGGCGTTTAGGGTTTAGGATGTAGGGTTCATCGGGCTTAGGACTAGGGTTATGGAACCAACTGACAGACATCCCATGGGTTTGAGGGATTAAGACCCTAAACCCTAAACCGCCTAAACCCTAAACCCTAAACCCCTAAGCCACCCTAAGCGTGTAGGGTTCAGGGCTTCAGGATTCGATCCGCGGAGCTGATCAGCAGTGCCGGTTTAGGCTTGGGGTTTCTTGGAAAATGGTTTATCACTGGCGCCAGATTTGCGACCCATGTCAATATCTGCCTATTGAAAAACCAATGACTGCTTGCCTCTCTTCCTGCGTCGGGGGCTTCAGAAAAAACCATTTCATTGGCTCAGCAGCGGCTCGAGGGCTTGCCATGCTTGGGGCTTGGGGGTCTATAGTGCTTAGGGTTTAGGGCTTTTAGGGTGTAGGGCTCAGTTTTAGGGTTCAGGGTTTGTAGGGTTTAGGATTTAGGGTTGGACCCTCTTGGGGTTTAGGGTTTGCAGGGTTTAGGGTGAACAGTGGTTGAAACCTGCTTGGGGTGTTTCGGGTTTAGGGCTCAGGTTTTGTAGGGTTTAGGCTGAACCTCCGCTCGGGGGTGTTTAGGGTTTAGGTTTTGTAGGGTTTAGGACTTATAGGGTTTGGGGTGTATAGGGTTTAGGGTGTAGAATAGGGTGACCTACAGGTCAGGACGCAGAACAGTGCAATCCATGGGATTGGGCCAAGGGAGTCACTGATGCGCAGTAATGTCCACTTCGCATTTTTAAGGCCCTGCTTGATTGCTTTTATCTCTTTGGCAGGGGACCGAGAAATCTAATTGTGCCTCCTGTTCTAGATAGCGCCCTCAAATCAAATCTCGTTCCTGGGTATTTGCATGATTCTTTCCCACGGGGGGTAGAAATGCCAAGTGGCCAAGTCAACATTTTAGAGCTGTATAGTTATTGGAGCTGCGTTAAGTTCACTCCTAACTCCACATGGTGTGGAATGAAGATGAGCTCTGCGGGCAATCCGGAACGCAGCAGCATAACCGCCACAAGTGACAAACTGCGAAGGGTGTTCAAATGCAGGTTAGGTGCCGCCGCGAGGAGTTCGAGCACGTGCTAACTGAATGTAGGTGGGGGGAAGAGAGGGATAGCCCAAATTCAGACCTGACGGGCCAAGCCCTAAACCCTAAACCCCAAACCCTAAACTTAACCTTATTTGATGGGGCCAGGGGCTCGAGAGCTGCCAATGTCGCTCGACGCCCACTAAGAAGCGATTTTGTCGTCTGACTACGGTCGCTACAACCGAAATCGATCATCGCCATGCCAGGTTGGAGCATTGAAACTTGACCGTAATGACAAAACCTCCTGCCC